CATTAGTCTGCCAATAGAAAAAATTATTTTACATGTCCAAACTTACATTTTGCCATTAATTGTAATTATTATTATTATTATTATTATTATTATTATTATTACTCCTTTATTTATCCAGGAAAACATCCCACTGACATACAACATCTCTTCTTCCAGGGAGAAAATGGCAGCAAGAAGTCCAACAACAAACAGTATGGACCACACAGAAATCTGATCTCAACATCCAGTCCAACAGGGATTACATGAAGAGACAAAAAAAAAAAAGAAAAGAAAAAAGACAGGCTACATACTGTGCCAATATTTCCAAGACCTGTGGAGAAATCAACCTGCAAAGCCGAAAAATGTAAAAATGTATACGCATTTGTGAAAAATGCTGTAAATCGAGGATGCTTTCACAAATAATGCCATAAATAAATTAGGTATTTTTATTAAATAATGTCATGAAACCATTTTTTTATTATTGTTTTAGATTTTATTATTTAGATTTTCAGGTAGATTTCTCCAAGTGTATTGGAGATGTTGCCACAAGATTTAGTCTCTCTCCATTTTTGTTCTCTCTATGCAATCCCAGATGGACTAGATGATGGTGAGATTAGATCTGTGTGTGAACCATATGATTTCGGAATCCCTGTGCATACAAAAATCCATCCATCCATTGTGGTGGCTCCTGCCGCTGCTGTGAGGGATCTTTCTCAAAGTCTTGGGGTTTTGATGCCAAAAGAGATTTTATTTTCAGAGACAATAAAACTGAGAGAACTCTGCAGAGCCATCTCCAGAATCTTTTTCTGTACCCTCTTTTATACAGTTTTTTCTCTAGGCGTGTTCAATACATTCATACGTATTTGTTATGGGACCACGATGCAGTCAGGAGGCCTTAATTTTATGTTCCGTGAAAATAAGGGCCCCATCACATGCTTCACCATATGTCTGCACATTCCATTCTCATACAGATTTCTATACACGCAGGCAAATACACATGATTATAATAGTAGAATAATTTAATACATAAATGGCTATATTCACATTGATTATACTTGAATAATTTATATTTTGATTAATTAAACTCTTCTACATTCTCCCCTTTGAGACTTACTAAGTCTCACCTTTACTTGTCTTTACCCAGAGTGCAATTTCATAATTCAGTCTCATCAGTTAGTGACTAAATTAAGTCATACAGTTTTATCACCAATGACTAGATTATGCAACAGCACTCTGGCGGAGCAGCAAGACCAAACCTCTCCCCCCACACTTGACTAGGAGGGAGTAAAAGATCCCGTCTCCCTAATCCCTCATTTAAGATAAAACAATGTTATAAGCATGAGCGTGCAATTGGTTCAGCGCTTGCCTGTGGTTGTCACAGTATAAAAAAACATTAAAAAAATCACAAATAGAATATCACAAGATTAGCATAGTTGATCTTCAGCCCAGATACTTTGCGCATCGTAGAGGGCCACCCTTGGGCAGAGGTTAGGCTAGACCCAGGGTATGGTTCATCTTTATACTTCTTCTTCGTCCTCAGTTGAGGAACTAGAGTCTCCATCATTTGTCAGTGTTTGTGACTTCCAGTTGGGTGCATAAGGCCAGTCCTGATAATGTACATTTTGGTTACTCTTCAAAATCAATTTCTCATTATCTTGACATCTTAGAATTTCCATTTGCCTAGCTGTGGCTTGGACAACTAGTGACCTCAGTACGGGAAGCACACAGCAAAACAGTAATCCTCCTATTAATACTGCAACTCCTAAAAACATTCCTAATTGAGCTAACCATGCTTCCCATACTCCTAACTTTAGATCAAACCAATCCCACATTTTATTATCTGTCCCAGCGTTAGTTTTAAGTTCAATCCTTAGGTTTTTCAATTTGGTCATTACTTCAGTGAATGCGCCTTCTGGAGCAGTATTATTTGGTATATAAGTACAGCATTGATCCCCAAACATAACACACACTCCCCCTTTCTCAGCTAACAAATAATCTAGAGCTATTCTATTTTGCCATGACATTCTGCTTGTTGCATCCAATTGCTCTCCTAAAAGCGATAAGGTCTCATCAGTGTAATTAATAAATCTTTGCTGATTGTAATATATGTAATTGATCCATTCTGTATTTTTATTTTGTTTAATCCAAATGAATATTGATTCAGTCCCTGATTTGACTTCATCTCTTGCTTTAAACTGATAAGGTATACCTCTTGGTTGACCAATTGAATCGATATAAACAGCAGGGTCTTTTTCATAGGCTCTTCTGGATCTGGATTTCTTTTCATTTGTTGCTTCCTCTTCAAGAGAGATGTGACTCATGTGTCAGCATAACTCTAGTACATAATCCTGACCATTTTTCTGGTAATATTGTCAAGAGGCCGTATTCTAATCCCAGAGGTGTAAAGTATTGGAGTAAATGTAATTAGTTACTGTACTTGAGTATCTTTTCGGGTACTTTGTAGTTGTACTGAGTATCAAAGATATTAGCAACTTTTACTCTTTACTTCACTACATTTTTTGAATGAGTATCTGTATTCTTTACTCCACTACATTTGAAATGAGTGTTGCAGTTACACATTACATTTTGCATGGACCTAGCTTTTTCTGTGGCAGTTTATTTCTGCTACAAAAGACGTGATACTGCCTATTACAGGTCACTGAAAGTACTGCGTTTTGCCCTTACTCACCCAAACTTGTTAACAAGGCTACTTTATGTGAATGCGAGTTCCTTAGCAAGTATTTGTGAATCAGAGGTGTTTTATATATGAGATGAGGACATGACTGCAGCCAGCAATGAGGCCCAAACCAGCACATCCACTGCAAGAAGGCTTCGGCTTTTTAATTTTACTTAACATTAATTTATTTATCCATTATACCGAAAAGACCTTTTTGAAAGATATTGTTTTTTGTTTGTTTGTTTGTTTGCTTGCTTGTTTTGTTTTGTAATTTTAAGGTGTTCAGTTTTATTTTGGTTTTAGAAAATAAACGTGATTGCTCTACTCACAAATCAACTCTTTCTTGTTTTTGTTTCATGCTCTCTGTGCCTTGCCCTGGACTTTTATGTCACTTCCTGTCTCCCGTGGTGTTTGTAGTCGCTATCACGAGCTCGAGAATTTAAAGTGACAGACGAGTGTACGCTTAGAATAATCAGACGATATCGTTCGCTGCGTGGACTCTAATATTGTTATCTTTATAGTTATCGTTCTTGGTGTGAACAGGGCTTTAAGCTTGTTAGCCCCTGTGTGTATATATAGCCCTAGTTTTTCTTTAGTTCCTCGTGAGTTGTTGAATGTAATGGTTGTCTGTTTGCCAGTTATTCTGTTCTTTGTTCCCTTTGGTTTTTACCTTATTGTTTGTTCTAGTTTTTCCATGAAATACCAGCACATAGATCCTTGCCTCTGCCTGTTTTCCGCAGCTTCTCCACAACGTTACAGTTTTTCACTGGCATGTCTCTTTGACAAGTGCAAAGACTCTTTGAGCCTATATTTAGTATAAGTAAAATATTTAAGTACTGTTAAAATCAGATACTCTAAGACTTTTTACTCAAGTTGTTTTGGAATTGGTGACTTGTAACGTGTAGTGGAGTAATTTTCACTGTAAGGTATCTGTACTTTTACTCAAGTATGGTTTTTAGGTACTCTTTACACCTCTGTCTAATCCACACATCCACCATATGTCTGCCAATGCAATATTGATGTCATCAAATATAGGTGGTGGGCCTTCTTTTATCATTAAATAGTCATATTTTGTGGTATTTTCCATATTTTGCTGCATTTCCCTTCAAATCTTCCTACGTCAATATTTCCCTTCTTCTCATAACATTCAAATTCCTGATCTGCCATTAATTGTATTTTCCCTTGTGGCTTTTGTATTTTTTTTTCTGTACTATTGGCCATTTACGGGTACGTATGCACTGTAATTCAGTTGCTTCTCTGTAGTTTGTTGTAGATTTGAGAAACTGGCACCAATATTGGCAAAATGCCATTTTTTGGGTACAGTTTCTAAAGACATTTATCTCTCTGTCTCTTTCTATAAAGCATTTACCTCCCAATCTCACTACATCTAATCCATTGCATTAGATAGTCCTGGACATTTCTTAAACCATTCATCATGAAATATTCTACAACTAGAACTGTGTATAGGTATTGGTACAATATATAAAATTGGTCTTGCTTCAAAGCAAACTATGCAGTTTTCCCATTTCTCTTTTTCTGCTGTGTAATTTACCCATTGATACCAATTATTGTCTTCTGCCTTTTCCCATAATATATCTGAATTGCCCGTTCTCTTAAAAGTAATATTATGGTTGTCATTTACAATGTGTCTATTTTGGCTAGATACTTTATCCTCCTTATCTAGTTCTTGTTCTTTTTGGATTAAGTCAAAGCCACTGCTAGATTCAACTGAGGGGGTGAAAGTTGATTCTAGGGAAGTCTGGGTGCTGTTGGCTACAGCTTGAGCTTGTAGAATTATCTGCATTAGGCATGTGATAATCATCAGATATGTTGTCAGACTTATTCTTTCTCCTCGCCTGTTTGTCTGACAGGAGAATATGAGCTCCTTGTGGATCTTTTTTTTGAGCTTTCATCAGTTTGCCCTTCATCTTGTGTCACTGGTCTTTCCTCGTCACTTTCTCCTGAGTTATCTGCTTGTGTGTTTCCTTCTCTTTCTGTCCTTACTTTGGGAACTCTAGTACAGTGGTTTAGATCAGGGGTTTTCAACCTTTTAGGACATGCGCCCCCCCTTGTATTTTTATGTCCATACGGTACATTGATTAAACTATTTAAATCAATGTGATAGACGAGTTAGGTCAAAAGTCATCTAAAAGTAGTCTGATTACATTATTTAAAATGTGTAATGTAATGGATTTCATTGCTAACTATAATTTTTTTCATGTAATTTGGACTCAGTAACAGATTACAATTTGTAAGTAATCTACCCAGCTCTGTCCCTGTCTGTGAAACAGGACCATAATGTTTGTGCTTTGTCTGTAATGTTTTGAAATTATACCTTTTATTTTTAAGGTGAACAGGTTATCCATCAGCGGAGGACATACACTGAAGAAAACAATATGGAGAATATGCTCCAAGGTTTTCGGTCCTGTAGCCAAACAACTGAACTGGTGTGGAAGGGGAGAAAAGTGAGGGATCAGGAAAACAGGTCTCTTTTCACTGTTGCACTGTGGCGAGGACACAGCTGTATGTGTTACTAAGCGTGAAAGTTCCGAAACTGAAGCTGTAGAACTAGTAGAACGTGATGACACAGAAGAACTCATCCACATTGACCGCCACACATATCCACCGCCCCCTGCCATCAGCTCGCGCGTCTCACACACACGAGGCGACTTCAGCGCTAGATTTAGCAACTTTCAGATGCTTTTAGCGGCTTTTTTCCATAGAATATATATACTGACAAACCTAGCGACTTTTTCGGATAAACCTTAGCTATGGTTCAGTTGGAAGATGTCGCCAGTGCTGCCCCGCGAGCGCGAGGTCTGACTCTCCCGGAGAAGTGTAACCTCTCTCGGCGTCTGTTCTGTATGAGGCGCCGGGCTGGACAAAAGTGAAGCGAACGCGGAGAGAGAGAGCGACAGTTCGCGAGAGAGGCCTAGTGTGTCCGAGAGAGAGCGACAGTGCGCGAGAGAGACTGAGTGCGTCCGAGAGAAAGCGAGAGTGCGCGAGAGAGGCCGAAAATGCGTGCGAAGTCTTAATGTACATAATTAACATAACTCAACTCGCTAATTAACTGTAACTGTAAATTTGACAGGATGTCTGAAGCAGCCAGGAGAATTATTAAAGAGTCATTCATTTATTCATTCATTCATTCAAAAGGATGATTCATTCTGAAATAAAGCAAGCGACTCTCTATGAATTGCTCACTCACTCTCAATGTTCAAAAATGATAAGAGTCAGATCTACAACATACGGGGAAATAAGTGAGACTATAGTAAAACCATACAAGTAAATCTCAAATTTTCTTTATGATATCGGTAGTTAAGGATAAAAGTTGTTTAAAATTTTCACGAGCCCTTCTTGCTGAGTCGAGTCGAGTCTGAAGTCTATTAAAATGCGAATAGGGTCCGAGTAACTCACTCAAATTACAAATTACATTTGTTAACCTTCAACGGACTACAACTTTCCTTAATTAAATCATGGGAAAGGGGCTGCTGAACTTGCCTATCTCAGTTCGAATGTGTGCTGTGTATCCCCAGCAAAGAGCATGGCTTCTACTCTTGGTCCCTAGTACGGACGGTATGCTTGACCAAATCAGTATGACCATTGTCATAATCATTTGCATTGAAAACATCACAGAGTATTTGGAAATCAGTGTCTCTGGCTGAGTCTGTTCTTCTCTGTCAAATGCAGACTGACTCAAGTCTACTTTTAAAGGCTAAATTTTGTTATTGTTTTCATCTTCAGACTGACGACTTTTAAAGGGGTCATATGACATTGCTAAAAAGAACATTATTTTGTGTATTTGGTGTAATGAAATGTGTTCATGCAGTTTAAAGTTTAAAAAACACATTATTTTCCACATACTGTACATTATTGTTTCTCCTCTATGCCCCGCCTTTCTGAAGATTTTTACAAAGCTCATCGGGCTGAAAAGCGAGGTGTGCTCTGATTGGCCAGCTATCCAGTGTGTTGTGATTGGCCGAATACCTCAAGCGTGTGACGGAAATGTTACGCCCCCTGTGATGCCATCTCCTGGCACGACGAGACAAAACCAATAAAACCCATTACAAACGAAGCATTTGTTGCATCCAGTGGGGACATAATTACGGATTATAATGACTTTTTACGGGTTGCGTTGCATCGTGCCGCGTAAACATAAAACCATGTCACGAGCCCTTCTTGCTGAGTCGATTTGTGATCGGAGAAAGTGCTACTTTACACTGCCCAAAACTCGCGTTTGAATCATCAGTGGCAAATTCCTGAGAGTGTCTCAAATGGTCCAACATCCTAGACAGAATACGAGAATGTTCCTCCAATAACCTATTACAATGCTCCATGCTGTTAACATTTCTTGATAGCATAGTTTCTTCATAAAATGTCACACAAGCATTTAGGTCGGTGAAACATCTTTGTACATCGTTGCACTGATATCTAATGCAGTGCAACAAAATTATACAATTTAATATAAAATTTCCCTTAAACATCGTGGAAATTGCAGGCATTGCGTTTTACACCACAGAACTTCTCACAGAACAACTCACTCTCTCGCTTTCGGACGCACTCGGTCTCTCTCGCGCACATTTTCGGCCTCTCTCGCGCACTCTCGCTCTCTCTCGGACGCACTCGGTCTCTCTCGCGCACATTTTCGGCCTCTCTCGCGCACTCTCGCTCTCTCTCGGACGCACTCGGTCTCTCTCGCGCACATTTTCGGCCTCTCTCGCGCACTCTCGCTCTCTCTCGGACGCACTCGGTCTCCTCGCGCACTGTCGCTCTCTTTCGCGCGCATTTTCGGTCTCTCTCGCGCACATTTTCGGTCTCTCTCGCGCACTGTCGCTCTTTCGCGCGCATCTTGCTCTCTCTCGGACACACTCGGCCTCTCTCGCGAACTGTCGCTCTCGCTCTCCGCGTTCGCTTCACTTTTTTCCAGCCCGGTATGGCGTTATTTTACTGACAAATTTCGAGAGCGCATTATTGTAGCGCAAAAGCACATTAATACAATGCACGAGCGCGAATCTCTCCGCTCGCGCGCGGATTACCCTTGCTCTCGCACAAAACCGGACGCGCGCGCTCAGATACACGCTGCTCTCGCCCAGAGAGAGTGCACGCACTTAAAACGTCCCGATAAATTACCCCGGAGCCACTATGTTTTCGCTGTCAGTCTTGGTGATCGCCTGATATCTCAGAGTTCGAGCACATATCCTTACCGTATCCTTACCGATGTATCATTGAGAGTCTTCTCAACTACAGCAAAGATACGCTGGAATCGCTTTTCTCGGCGGGGCTGTTTTTCAAAGGCACTGCGTTCACCGGTACCTACGATAAAAACCTGTTCGCGTTCAATCATTACGATTTGGAGTTCCTAGCCGTCTACGTCGACGGACAACAATTCCCCGCTAAACCTCTACAGCCAGACTTCGAATCTGGTTCTGCCGTCCGTGAATTTTATCAGCTGGCGACCGCGACCGGGAGACATCTTAAAAACCAAGCCCTCTCTATCAACAGGGATGATTTTCTGAAAGGCTATTCGCTTTACGCCTTTAACCTCACGCCTGACGAAGACTGCGGTCAGCATATATCGCTCATCAAGTCCGGGAATATCAGACTCGAAGCACGTTTCAAAAAACCGCTGCCGCATACTATTAACCTCGTCATTTACGCTGTGTTTGACAGCATCCTCAAAGTGTCTAACCGCAGACAGGTCCTGCTCGATTACTACTGAACAGATTGCAATATTTTATAACATCGCAGGGTATCTTTTCTTGGCCTAGGGGTATCTTCTTATGCATGTCGTAGCAGTAGCTCGATTTACAATAGCGTAGACAATAACGTAGACAATCGGCGCAGTGAACGACTGTTTTAGGGTGCTTGTAGCAATCTCGGTCGAAACAAACATTGCAAACGTGTCTACAACTGTGATTTCTGCGGCTTGAGTACCCTTTAAAATAAAATTCACATTGACTATTTTGATGCCTAGCAGATTTTCAAACTTAGCTATGTCATGAAGATCTATCAGGTCTTGACTAGTGAACCCGGCGTTGTTTTGCATAACGGCCGCACGACTTTCCAATTCGCTCTCGGGTAATTGGGGATCGAGAAAATGTGCCAGGCAGATAGCCAAACATATTTTATTACCGGTATTTACAGGATTGAATAGACTCATCTTTTTTCTTTTAATAACCTGGTCCAAAGCCAGTTCTGTGAGTTTACGCCGTCCGCCTCCTTGTCTGTTAATGGCTACGTTGGCTTCAATTTCAACCGCATCATCAACCATCAGCATTTCGTTGCTTTGTAAATTTTTTTCGATTTGTTCTGTAAATAGATTAACGTCATAATTATTTCCGGGGGTTAAAACGGCATTAACGGACGAATTAAGGCTAGGGGCCGTCATAACCAAGTTGATTACGCTAGCATCACCTCTGATCTGTCGGGCAAATGACACTATTTCATCCATGGCATTGTGCAAGGAGACGTGATACGATGCTAAATCTGTAGACATGATCTCCCTCATATTAATAGTCCTACGTAAGTCCACGCTGTTAAAACGCGGTCGCGGTAAAACACAAAAGCCATTTACGGTACCGCCATTACGTATCGCTGCATCAATGATCGCCCGAGTTGTACCGGCAGGGTCCGCTGTTCTGCTAGTTGAGGGTCGCTCGGAATCAGAAGCGGCCTCGGCACGGGGAGTCAGAGGTTGCTCGGCATCGTTATTACCTGCAGGGGGTGCGGTTCTTCTAGACGATGAACATTCGGTAGCAGAAGTGGTAGTTGATGAATGCATAGCACCGGCAGGTGTAGAGTCGGAATCTGTTAATGCGCCACCGTTTTGGACATTGTTTTGTTGTAACAGCTGGTTGTGCTCTTCTAGTATGATCTGTAACATATCGCACAAATTCAAATTTAGGGTCTGGTCCATTTCTATTTGTTGCAAATCACAAGCATTTAACATAGTGTAATCAGGAAATGGTCCTATCACATCTGGGTGCGAGCTTATCATTTGTAATCTATCGCATAGAGTCATATTATCAGGAGCATTTTGTATTTGCAAATCAATTATACTCTGTAGCGTGTCAGAAAGAGCTTTGGCTCCGTGTACATCTCCGGCATTCATTTTTTTTAATTATTACAGACAAAAAATATAACTACATCTTTATAAAGGCAACAGAGTTTAAACCATACACTGGTAACATCAAACTGATTAAAGACAAAAGGTAACAAAAGTTTAAACCATATGGTGATAAGATCAAAGTGACTACAGACAAAAGGTAACAAAATTTTAAACCATACTGTGATAAGATCAAAGTGATTACAAACAACAAATAAAAAGAAAATATAAAACCATACAGCCTTAATAATGGAATTGACTACGAGATTAACATGAAATAGCACTGTGCAGATATCGTCTAAATTATAGTCTAATACTGATAATAACAAATCGGCAACATTAAAAATTGCTGGTGTTTACATAATTAAAATCAGCAACAATAAAAATGTTATAGAGCAGTTATCTCCTCATTATAAAGTGATTTAGATTGGCGACAGGATCCACCAAAAGTCTCCTCTCGCGCAACAGCTCACGAAGGGTGTCGTGAACTGTCTCAAAGTTTTCGTGAACCGTTGTTCCCAATTGACGTAACCCGTTCGTCACGTCGTCAATTTGATTCGCATTCGTAGCTAGGTCGATATCATCCAATTTATTAATTATTTCATGAAGGAGTACCTCGTGCCTTAGGCTCGCCGACCTGAGTTCGTCACCAACCGTTTCTGCATCCGCATCCACGATCGACGCTGCTTCTTCTTCCCCAGCATACGGGGTCTGACTCCTTACCGTCACGCTCTCTTCGTCTCGCTCGCTACTAAATGTCACACTGTCCCACACACGTACTTGCGTGTTTGACCAGAGTTGTACGTCGTCCAAGTCTTCGCGTTCTTCGTCTGAAAACAATAACAGGATTAGGGAAAATAAAATGGTTGTGCTCTTCTAGTATGATCTGTAACATATCGCACAAATTCAAATTTAGGGTCTGGTCCATTTCTATTTGTTGCAAATCACAAGCATTTAACATAGTGTAATCAGGAAATGGTCCTATCACATCTGGGTGCGAGCTTATCATTTGTTGTAATCTATCGCCTAGAGTCATATTATCAGGAGCATTTTGAATTTGCAAATCAATTATACTCTGTAGCGTGTCAGAAAGAGCTTTGTCTCCGTGTACATCTCCGGCATTCATTTTTTAATTATTACAGGCAAAAATATAACTACTTCTTTATAAAGGTAACAGAGTTTAAACCATACACTGATAACATCAAACTGATTAAAGACAACAAATAAAAAGAAAATATAAAACCATACAGCCTTAATAATGGAATTGACTACGAGATTAACATGAAATAGCACTGTGCAGATATCGTCTAAATTATAGTCTAATACTGATAATAACAAATCGGCAACATTAAAAATTGCTGGTGTTTACATCATTAAAATCAGCAACAATAAAAACGTTATAGAGCAGTTATCTCCTCATTATAAAGTGATTTAGATTGGCGACAAGATCCACCAAAAGTCTCCTCTCGCGCAACAGCTCGCGAAGCGTGTCGTGAACTGTCGCAAAGTTTTCGTGAACCGTTGTTCTCAATTGACGTAACCCGTTCGTCACGTCGTCAATTTGATTCGCATTCGTAGCTAGGTCGATATCATCCAATTTATTAATTATTTCATGAAGGAGTACCTCGTGCCTTAGGCTCGCCGACCTGAGTTCGTCACCAACCGTTTCTGCATCCGCATCCACGATCGACGCTGCTTCTTCTTCTTCTTCTTCTTCTTCCCCCCAAGCATACGGTGTCTGACTCCTTACCGTCTCGCTCTCATTGTCTCGCTCACTGCTAAATGTCACTCCGTCCCACTCACGTACTTGTGTGTTTGACCAGAGATCGACATCATCCAAGTCTTCACGTTCTACGTCTGAAAAACAATAACAGGATTAGGGAAAATAAAACGTAATACGGGCGGTACTTCTATTAAATAAATTACTAAATAAATGTAAAATATCTTGTAGCCGAAAAGCTAAATAAATAAAAGGTATTATTATGAATAAAAATAAATAAGTGAATAAGACACTTATTAATATTTAAATAAAACCAAAATATTATGAATAAATAAGCCAAATTATTTTATGAATAAATAAAAATAAATAATTGACAAATTATGAATAAACCAAATTATAAGATGTTACTGTTTAAAATGTGCTATGACAATTGTCTCTGCAGTTAAAGGATTAACCTCCTGAGACTGCAGCAGTTAAAGGGTTATCCTCCTGAATACAGAAGAATTTTGGAATATAGTTAAAGATGTGGGCAGAAACAAGGTGGGAGAGCAAGGTCAAGAGCGCCGAGCCCATGAGGTAGCAGGGAGCTGCCGTGAGAGGCTTTAATTGAGGTGAGAGACCACACCAAAGACCCTGCTATAAAGGCTGAGGCCCAGTCTTTGTCTGAGGAGGTGGGGTCGTACCGCTTCAGCATCTGCACGGTTGTTTGGTATGACATGCTATCTGCAATACAGATTGAGAAATATAATTTTCTCTTTCACTTATGTTGTTATAATTAAATATAACTGTTTGTGCAGACTCGAAGGGGGTCTCGCCCAGGGTGTAATTCAATGTAGAACCGCCACTGTTCACAAAACTCATTAGGACCACACGTGGAATTGGTGGGTTTATTGTTTCTCTGAGGTGTCAAACTTATGATTGCATTTATTACTTGCTGATCAATTAGCAACCCCTGCTTGTGAGAAGGATTTTGCAGATGTATGCTTTTCTTTGCTGTTGACTGTAAAAAATGCAAAACTGATTTCCTAAAGCATCTGAAAATCTGTTTTGGTTGGCATGCTTTAGTAGAAATATTTTGGTCAAAATACTTTAGTAGATACAGTGCCTTGCGAAAGTATTCATACCCCTTCATTTTTTTCATGTTTTGTTATGTTGCTGCCTTATGTTAAACTGCTTTAAAATACTTTTTTTCCACATCAATCTACAGTCGACACACCATAATGGTAAAGCAAAAAACAGTTTTTTTAACATATTTGCAAATTTATTAAAATTAAAAAACTTAAATGATTCCATTGCATAAGTATTCATACCTTTATATGGGTCAGTTGAAATTTAGCTCAGGAGAATTTATATTGGTTGTAGATGTTACTACACTTTGAGTGCAGTTATCCTGTGGCAAATTCAATTGAATGGGTATGATTTGGAAAGGCACACACGTCTTAATAAAAGGTCTAACAGCTGATAATGCATACCCGAGCAAAAACAAGCCCTGAGGTCAAAAGAACTGCCTGTACAGCTCAGAAACAGGTTTGCATCAAGCCACACATCTGGGGAAGAGTTCAGAAAAAAATTCTGCCTCATTGAAGGGTCACAGAAACATGTAATCTCTGTTACCTTTAATGGAATAAGTTTGAAACAACCAGGACTCTTCCTAGAGCTGGCCTCCTGGCCAAACTGAGCAATTGATGGAGAAGGACTTTGGTTAGTGTGGTGACCAAGAACCGGAGAATCACTCTAGAATCACTCTAGTTGAGCTCCATGATCATATGTGGAGATAGGAGAACTCTACAGAAGGACAAATATCACAGCAACACGCCACCGAATTGGGCTTTATGGCGGTGTGGCAAGACTCAATCCTCTCTTCAGTGAAGACACATGAAAACCCACTTGGCATTTGCAAAAAAGCACCTAAAGGACCTTCAGACTGTGAGAAACAATATTCTCTGGTCTGATGATGATGAATCTCAATTCCAAACATCATGTTTGAAGGAAACCAGCTCTGCTCATCACCTGAAGAGTACCATCCCAAAAGTAAAGTGTGCTGGTAGCAGCCTCATGCTGTGGAGCTGTTTTTCAGCAGCAGGGACTGAAGGACTTGTCAGAGTAGAAGAAAAGCTCAATGCACCAAAATATTGAGATAGCCTTAATGAAAACCTAGTCCAGAGCATTCAGAACCTCAGACTGGTCGGAAGGTTCACCTTCCAACAGGACAATGAACCTAAACACACAGCAAGCGTGGCTTATAGACAACTCTGTGAATGTCCTTGAGGGGCCCAGCCAGAGCCTGAGCTTGAACCCAATCAAATATTTCTGGAGAAAACTGAAAATGTGCGTCTGCCCCCATCCAACCCGACAGAGCTTGAGAGGTGAAGAGGTGAGGAGAAGAATGGCAGATAATTGCCAAATGCTGACGAGCAAAGCTTGCCGCATCAAACAAAAAAAGACTTGAGGCTGTAAAGTTGCTTCAGCTAAATATTTAGTTAAGGGTATGAATACTTATGCAATGTACTTATTTCATTTATTTTTTTTTCATTTTTTAAAATAAATTTACGAGGTTGTGACAATTCTGTTTTTGCTTTGTCGATATGGTATATGGAGTGTAGATTGATATGGAAAAAAGTAATTTAAAGCAGTTGTACATAAGGCAGGATAAAAAAATTAATACTTTTGCAAGGCATTGTACAGCCTTTAAAAAGGCAGGTGCAAACTGTACTCTGTGAATGAAATGGTCTGGGTCATATTCCATCCAAAAAATATTTGTATTACAAAAATGAAGCCTATTTTAAAGCTATTACAATTTTTACATTGTGACATTATTATTGTGCCATTTGACCCTTCACAAAAACCCTCCTTAAATACTGTTGCTATATCCGACAAGCCATGCCGATCTCACACTACACATCATGTTCTCATGCTGTAAAAAATTCATCATGGAGCAAAGAGGAAACTGACAAGGCGCTGACAGACAAGACAGAGCAGGTTACTTCTGGTATAAAACATGATCTCGGCTTTCAAATTTTGTCATTTAAGAAATTCAAACAATAAACACAGTTTTGTGGCTCTTTAATGTATCGTGACAGATCACTGTAGCATCTCAGTTCAAGCGGCACGTGAACAAATTGTCTTTTCATATTTACTTCAAGTGCAAAATAAACATCAGAACATATTTTACACACCATTTTTCTTAAGTTTAAGCTCACGGAAGTTAATCTACTCTCCTGTCTGATTTGTTTGTTGGACAAGATGGCAGATTCGGCGTTATGATTGGTCAGATCACCTGTCAATCAAGCTCTTTGTGAAGGGTCAATTATAGTCTCTCCTTATAATTTCATTACTGTTAAAAAACACTAATGAAAATGTTCTTGTTTTGACTTATTGAACTTTTTTTTAAATTATTTTTATTAATCAGCATAAAAATAAATGCAGTACAACAAGTACCATCATTTATACCTGCAATTGTACTTTATAAAGGTATTTTATGATTTAAATTATATTTAGATTTATGTTTGCGTTGGTGAGTTTTTTTTCAGTAATTAGAATTCAAAAATATGTTTTCTTATGCAAAATAATTTATAATTTATAATAATTTATGCATTTAGCAGACGCTTTTATCCAAAGCGACTTACAGTGCATTCAGGCTATAAATTTTTTACCAGTATGAAATATAATTCTTTATTTATTTTCTTTAGAGAAATTTCTTTTGGTGTGACATTATGACCCAAACATGTTCTGGGCAGTTCTTGACAAATTCACACAAGCAGCCTTTAATACAGAAGAATTTAAAATGTACTGTACAGGCTTGCAGAACTCACCCCTGCAACCGAAAGGTCAAATGTATCTGGAGATAAACGTTGATATGCTATTCTTAAATATCCTACTTTCTTAACTGTAGCAGTACTTAAAAATGTAGTGGTTGTCCTTATCCTTCAGCTCCTATTGCATTTTAAGAAAGCGGTCATCTGAGTTTACCTTACAGAGATTGCTTACTGGAGTACATACCATAATATTCACATAATCTCTAATTGTAGTTTACATGTTTTGTGCCATTTGCTCCTCTGTTGTCAATGGTTTCCCAATTTTGTCTATGCACACAATGAAATAGTAATATTGGGTCAGTCCGTATTAGGGCTGCAGCTATCGATTATTTTAGTATTGGAGTATTCTACAGATTATTCCATCGATTTATCGAGTAATAGTCGTGCAACTTAACTTTCAAGTTTCAGCCTAACTAAAGCTCAAGTTAGGCTGAAATGAGCCTATGACATAAGCCTTTACTGTCTTCTTGGAAGGCTTTGTGGCTTTTGTGAGAGGCAAAAATCAGTGGACAGGAAGGTAACTTGGAACAAGAACAATAGACCATACACAATTTCTAAACACATTTTTCTGCAACATGAAATTAGAGTTATTTGAAGAATAAACCCTCTTAAATGCCCCTTTATGTACTGGTGTGTGTGTGTGTGTGTGTGTGTGTGTGTGTGTGTGTGTG